TGGGTGGGGATTTCTGCACTTACTGACTCTTGTAATACATGGAGTAAGAGACTGTTACATTTCAGGAGGAAATGTATTCCATCAAAGACTTCAGGGAGCACGGGCAGCACCATGAAGAAGTGGTCTGTATTCCCATCTCATCGGGCTTGCTAGTACATCTGCGGCATAGGAAGAACACTCGAAGGCTTACGGCACTTGCCTGGTGTGCTTGTTCCTGAGGAGTCCGTTGCTGGCAGCGGGCAGAGCTCAGAAAGATCACTTGTGGAAAACCCTTTTTTTTTTTTTCCTTTTCCTCCATCACTACAGCAAGCTGAATAAAAGTGGTGGGGCTATAAGAAAGGGAAGCTACTGGGACCCACCAGCCTCCCCCCACAAGCTTGTACCTTCTTTGAAGAGTGGTGTGAGTAGGCTGGAACATTTGTCTTTCTCGCTGTTTACATGACGCTACCAGCCACCTCTCCAGAGGTGATTGATGCGGCACGTTAGTAGATGGGGGGGGTGGTGTGGAGGTGACAAAGTCTTGGAGAAATAGCTCTGTGAGAATTTGGGCATAGGGCCCCAAGGCAAAGGAAGCCACTTCCTACATTCAAGGGTTTGAAACGGACACTAGGCTGAGCAGCAGCCTGTTAGCTAGGGATCGAGAGAAAAAGCTATAGAAACTAAAGACTGATGTATAAATTATTTTATTTATTTCTGTAATTAGCTCTTCATTACCAAGAGTTGGTCTTTTTCAGTCTGTGGTTTTGTTAATGTGAAAAATAAGTTGTAGTTTCAAATGGTTGCCTAGGGAACAGAAATAATTGTATATTCAGTTTAAACGAAATAAAGAGTATTTGTCTTACATAACTGTAAGATGCCCTTTATTTATACTGCTACAGATCCTTGCAATGCTGCAGTTTATTTGTACAGTAATAAAAAAATGCATTTTCCAAAATGAAAAAGCTTGTGCCAATTCTGAAACATCAGTACAACTGGAATGTTCGTTAAGTACAACAGTAGCTCTTCAAAAAAAAGCAGAATGTCACGTCTTATGGCAATATTTCTCCCCAACAAGAGGGACATTACATATACATTTACATGAAAATCATGTACTGATTTATCCTTGCACAACCCACTTCTTTCCTCTCAGGCTGATTGTCCTCACTGAAATGTCTCGGGTAGAGCTGAGCTGAAAGCAGTCTGATGTAGCATCATCGCTAGGTATCCCCCGTGTCCATCATTTACCCACTTCATGGAAGTACAGGTTGGCACATATACATAACATGACAATAGAAAATAATATATAGTAAATCAGGTTCCTAAATTTAGGTTCCAGGTCTCCTTGGCGATACCAGTAGATCTAGAAGAGAGAAGGAGTTTGTATTACTTTAAAACACCAGGTACTTCTGAGGAAACTTTCTGTGGTAACTGAACTGGCAACTTCTAGACCTTTGGGGTTTTTTTTCCCCTCTGAAACAAGCCAGCTTCATCTGCCTAGAAAGACTGGGTGTGGAGTCCAGCTGATTTTCTTAACAATTAAAAAATAGCTCCTGTTTTCTTAGCATGCTTGGGGAATACACAAACAAGAATTTGGCAAGGTGTTTCTCCGCAAAACAAGGCTGCTTGTTTGCGAAACCAGGGGGCCAGGTTAGCTATGAAGACAGGGGTTGTCTTGTCAGCTTTGTTGAAGAGGGTGAGTGGGTTGGTTGGGGGCTTTTTAACGCTCCGAACTGGCTACACCCTGTCAGGCTTTGCACTACACAGTCTTATCTTGGGCAGAGTCATGGCTACCAGCTGTAGAACCAGCAACTGGTCCTGACCAGGTAATGCAGAGCATCTTCCCAGCTTACCCTGCAGTGAGGGGCAGGGGCTGCTCCAGGTCACGGCTGGAGGAAGGAGAACGCTCCAAGTACAAAAAGCTACAGCAGAAGGAGGAGCCACTGATGTTCCTGCCCATGGCAGGGGGTTGGACTAGGTGAGCTTCGAAGGTCCTTTCCAACCCAAACCATTCCGTGAACTCTGACCTGCCACTTCCCTCTGACAACGCTTGGGACTAACTCTTGGGATGCCCCAAATGTTTCGTAGGGGAACCTCTGCACCCACCCCGATGAAATGCCACCTGCTGTAGCACTCCTCCCCTGTGCCTGAAACCTCACTGACGTTGCAAGCGCCTGGCTGGCCCCACCACTTCAGTTGAAGTGTTTCGCTCCACCCCTGGTCTTCTGCAGCACAATCCGTCTGCGTTCCCAGCTCACTGCTCTGGTGTCCCTCTTCCTACCTGACGTCTCCACTGGCAGCTACAGGTGGCATTGTCACACCTGGTCTGCAGAAGCTGGCTTAGTTCACACGCTTACACTTCTCCTGCAGTAAATGGGAAACTGGTTGTCACTCTTTCACTGCCAACTTGTTTTATGGAGGCAGGAAAGCTTTTCTAGGAAAGTGTAAAAAAGAAGGCGGCACCACGTAAAGCAGATTTTATTCAGATTTCATCCTCAGTCATAGACTCGAAAGCTCGCACAGCAAACGTGGTGGTACTTACAAGTATGCCGGCAGAAATGCAACACAAGGAGATGCAGAAAGCAAAAAAAACATTCACAGGTTTTGGAGGTAGTTGTGGGAAGACAAAAGCGCTGATTAGAGTGACCTGTATGGAGGAAAACAAAGATGAAGACTTTGCTCTCGCCTGCCGTCAGAGCTGCGAAGAGAAGAGGCTCGCCCCGACGGCTGGCGTACCGCGGCGCTCGCATCCAGCTCCGCGTGCCCCCCCCTGCTCTTTAACTCCCACTCCGTGAAGAGCTGGAGGGAAACGTAAATTCTGGAGGAAAATCGCTTTGACACAACTGCAGACTTAGAGGGGTGGAAAAAAAAAAAACCTGACAAAAGCTTTGCTACTCTGGCTTGCTGCTGGAAACCATCCTCCAAGTACCCATACAGCCAGCAGGCACGGGGGCGCGCGCTGCCCGTGTAGGAGCATCCCTTCAGCCAAGCTTTCTACCAGCTGGCACCTCAGCTCTCGATGCTGCTGCCATGGACTGCAGAACTGATGCTCTCCAGTTGCGATGGCGTGGGGTTTGTCTTTAAAGCTTGGGGAAAGCATAGCTCGAGACAAAGTGACAAACTTTGGAAAAACTCCTATAAGCCATAAATAGAAGGAAATCAATCACAAACAGAAGGAAGTACAGGGAAGCAGACACATTCTCCCGGGTCATAAGCACTTTGTCGTCTCACCCAGCCTCAGTTCAGCTGAGACAGGCAACCTGCCCAAGGACCTGGGGGCTTTTTATTGCACAGCCAGATCTTAGGACATGGCTTGATGAAAGGTTGTCTCTTCCTCCTGTTGTCAAAGAGTTTCAAAAGACAGTTGCACCCCAAAGTGGCTACCTGGGCCCCAAACTACAGCCTGTCCAGGCAGCGAAGTTTTGCTGCCCGTTTTGAGGAGGAACTCTGGTTTTCAGCCCATCACCCAAGGGAGGCACAGAACACAGGCCAGCATGGGCAATACTTACTACAAGCAGCAAGGACGTTAAGCCGCCAACAACTAGATTGATGACTCTGTCCTGAAGAAAAGAGAGGACAGTTACATGCATGCCTTGCCAAAAAAAAAAAAAAAAAAAAATTAAAAACCCCACATAGTAACCAACAACACCGAGAGCACCACATCAGCCAGGGCCCATGTTACCCCCAGCACGCCCAGCAGCAACAATCGAGGCTCCCTGGTCAGCTCTGCCATGCAGGAAGGTTTCCCTTCCTTCGACTCCATGGATCTCAGGGAGGTTGCACCGGCCAAGTCCTTGTACAGCAGGCTTGCTCGCTTGCAGTTGGCTTCTTTGCCACACCTGAATCGATACAGTTGTGCAAATCCTTTCAAAAATTTTTGGAAAAGTGGGAGTGCACAGACAGAGGTTGTCAGAAAAAGCTTATTTTAGCCTCAGTGCCTGAGAATAAATAGCTTGATAGCGTCTTAGGTGGGAATTTGTGGGCTGCCAGCAAGGAGGTGAAGCATTCCCCGCACCCCAAATGTTCCCCCCCTGACGCCAGCAGACCTGAACACGCCTCAGGGCGGCCCTGCTCAGACGGACAGATACCCCTCCCCACCTCTTTCTGCTGCTCCGCATCAGTGTCAAACACTTGGCTGGGAGGAGACAACCCCTTGGCACCTGGGAAGGGGTATCCCTCGGTGTCAGCATCGCAATCCCGGCCCAGATGGCATGGGGGCAGGGACCGGCAGTGGCACGGCGCTGTGTGACCACGGGCCCAGAGGGGCACCCAGGGCAGGACCCCGCAGCAACGCATTCGCTGGAGTAAGAAATTGATGCAAAAGGAGAATATTCCCATCTCTGCGGGGATACCTGCCTCCTCCCTTTCCTTATGGTGCTGCTCTTGAGTATAAACATCCATGTCAAAGTCAGATGGGGTTGCCCGCAGTCAAGTGTAACACCCCAGCCAGCTGGCTCCCCAAATAAACTGCTAGAACAGCTACAGCAGAAAAAATATGCACAGAGAAAATAACCAGAACTTCAATTAATTATACTGAGTCTCATTAAATAGGCACAGTTAAAGGAAAGTGAGAAAAGAGTTTGAGCAGTGAAAGCATCTTGCCCAAGGCATTCCAGCCAGCGGGCAGGGCAACCCAGGTTTCCCTCCACCTGGTCTTGCACCCTTCTTCCCGTGTAGCGTTACATTTTGGAAGATGATTTGTAGAGGGAAAAGCCCCAGGTCACGAAGCAACGCGTGGCAGCAGCAGGGCAGGAGGAGAAAGCAGAGAGCAAAGCATGCTCTTGCAGGACGCCACCAGCCCTGACCTGAGGCTCACTGCAGCTCGGGTGCCCGAGCTTGGGGTTCAGTAACAAGCAGATGTTCACCCCCAAAGGAAAGGACCGCAGCAAGCAGACTCTATAAAACCTCTTCTACCAGTCCCCAGCTCCTCTACATAAAACCAGACCGCTTACGCCTCTACAGCTCAGGGGCCCCAAACTGTGGGGGCACGGCGGTGGCTGCGGCAGCAGGAAGCGGCCCACCCCCCCCAGGAGATCACCATCCCCAACGCCCCCTGCGCAAGGTGCTCGCCGGCCAGGCACAAACCTGTTCTCACCAGCGTTTCTGTACGTGATGTCGGCGATACAACAGCAGCCTCTGGGAGCCATCTACGAGGCACCCACCACCAACCCCAAAAAATGAGCTACGAGAAATGACTCCAGGCAAGTAACAGAAGCAGCGGGGTGAAACGCAAGCGTGCTACCTCCACGAGAGCGTATCACGACAGCCTAGCTGTGCTCCTCCACCTAGGCTAAAATAAATTCAGTAAAGAACTCAATGCTAACTGTAATCTAGATGGTATGCGGAGGGGTCCGTACCCCCAAAAGCAACTCCGATATTGGGAGAGAACAGTGGTTTTGCTCTGCCCTTGCCCTGCAGACCTGGCTGAGCCCACCAAGGCAATTGGATGAAGGGAGACCGGAGTTTGCACTCAGGCTCAGCTCCCCAGGGACGAAAGGGGTGGCAGGAGGCGAGCAGCTGGATCCCTTCTCCCTTCGTGCGGTGGGGAGAAGTGTTCCAAACAGCAGAGGAAAGGGAGGGAAAGCTGAGGAGACGGCTGCAGAGCCATCCCCATAGAGCTAACGCAGGGAGCGCAGTCACAGCCTGCTCTCTGCTGGCAGCCAGGCAGGGAGGGACACACGGCCACAGACCTGTGGACAGGGTGCACCATCCAGAAATTCAGCCATGATTAGGTTTCTCCTAATCAACTAACGACTTGGAAGGTGGCGATTTTAAGATGGGGAAAATTTGCCCATTTTGCCAGGACAAAGACTGGTCTGCCGGGAGAAAACGAGGAGGTCGGACTTGGCGGTGACCACGGAGCATTTCTCTCTGCCTGTTTTACGGGGTGCAGGAGAGAGCGTCCCCCTGGCACAGGGACCTCTCATCTCACACCACCGAGTGATGGACATCGCAGTGACTGCCGGAAAAAAGGCCGGGGGTTGGTTTGCCCCGGGGCCCCCCGGCCCCTGGGGGTCAGGGCATCCCCTTCCCTGCGGCTAAACCTGCCATCTCTAAAATTTTCCAAATGCGCCGCCAGCAGAAGGTGGTATTTCAGGATCCGGGGATTAGAGCCACTGATCCTGAAATCCCGGGCTTGACAAGGCAGCGAGAGGCTGTATTCCCCGGTGCCCGCTGACACTTCAGCCCCAGGCAGCTTAGCACAGCAAAAAGGTTAAAAATACACAAGCAGAGGCCAAGACGGCTAAAGGGATTGGGGATGACGGAGCCTTTCACCTCCGCACCGTGTCCGAGCGCGCAGCCCAGCCCGGGCAGACACTTGTGGATAACGGGCACACAGAAACGGGCTGGGACAAGCCATGTGTCCTACAAGCCACGTCACCCAGCTGGCACAGCCAGCTCTTCCAACCAGCATAGCTGATTCAGGGAGGATTGTTCTCTGGCATCACCATGTATTATGATAACTGCTAGAATAAAAAGTCGAATACAAAAAAAAGCGAGGTGCACACCAACACAGTGAGCACGCAGGCTGCTGGATGGAGGTCACCTGCACCGGCACAGGGTGCTCACACATGGACGCTTAACTTGTGATACAGCCCGGCAGCGTGCGATGCGCTGATGGGGACCCCCGCTCGGCCAGCCAGCAGCCAAGACGTAGCCAGTTGTTCACCAGGCGGGGGATGAATTCTGTGTTTTAGCGTTGCACAAGCTGCATTTTGAAACAGGAGGGTTTCTGCCCTCTCCTCGTACTTCAGGGAAGGTGTTGCAGGGGCTGTAGGCACCGAGCTGGCCCCAGGGAGCTGCTGCAGTGCGGGGCTCTCCCTCCAGCTGCCTCTGGGAAAGGGAGACGAGGTCAGGAAGCATCAAGCCCTCGCAAAGCAGGAGGACACAATCCAGGATCCTTCAGGATCTATGTCAGGGTTACTGTGAGCAAGAGGGAAACCGAGGCAGGACTGAGGGCGTACCCGCACCACTGCACCCACAGCATGGGCTCTGACAGAGCGACAGCTTTGCTCTTCACCCTGTTCCAGCTCGGCACCTTGCATCCTTCAAGGCAGCGGCCTGCAGGCTGAGCCCACAGGGAACAAGCTCCCATCAGAGGCTTGGCCGGGACGGGGGAACAGGCTGGTCCCCTGGAGGGTGTGTACCTGGTGGCTTCTCTGCAGGCATGACGGAAAAGCCATTTTTATGCCTTACATCAGCCAGTCCAGATGGTCAGCAGCAACCACAGCGAGACGCCAGCCCACGGCAGCCATAGGGGATACCTTAATCTAGCGCCAGGTTGATCTGCGTGGAACAGCAGACAGTATATGCTATACACCAGAAGAGCTGCGCTCACCACCACGCTGGCCACCCTCCCGCTTCCAGACATGGGGAAACACTGTTTTGCCCTCCATGGCTCCTCCTTCCCATCTTGAGCTGCTCAGTCTCTTCCTGCTGCCTTCTGCTTCCAACCCACAGCAATTAACACCCACCTGCTTATATTTAAATGCTCCCATCACGGAGGAACCCAAGCAGCTTCTACTTTCGACTTCTTTCTCAAGAAGTCCCGCATCTGTGATGCTCGGTCTCCTCTTTGCCACCTTACCGCTCGTGCCTCTCTGCTTAGCATTGTCTCATACCCGCTCGCTGCCAGTGCTGCATCCCTAGAAACCACAGCTGAATCCACAGCGCTTGGCATTCATCAACGTCATCTTCCTACACACCCCTCTTCCCACCAAACACCTCTTTGGTACCAGCTTGTCACCAGCCTCTGCTCAGCAGCCGGCACGGGAGGGCGAGCTTGGCAGGAGCAGCTGGACCATGGCAGGGGAAGGAGCCTGATGCTGCTGCCCAGCTCTCCCATCCCCACAGGGTGGCTTTTGCCCCAAAGCCACCATCTTGGAGACCAGGAGAGCATCAGAAGGCAAGAAAAGGGCATCCCCAGCTCTACATCCATCTCCAACTGCCAGCAAGGGTGCAAGACCCCTGATTCGGGCGCCGGGCTTCCTGGGGCACTGCCCCTCCCCGTGGCCTCGTGCCCAGCCTGAGCTGAGGGTCCTGGTTCGCCAGCACCAGCCATCGCTTGCAGAGACCCAAAAGCAGAGCCAGGGCATGGACACACGTGCTTCTCCCGGCAGACCTGCTCCCATTTTTAGGCGAAGTTTAGCTTCGCCATTTCTGAGACGGAACATTTCCAGCTCTGGACCTGACCAGCATCCGTCTCTAAGCAACCCCAGTGAATCACGGAGGAAACCACCCCAGGCCAGCACAGCGACCCCTTCTCTGTCAGACACCAGTACGGCCACAGAGACCACCGGCCGCCGCTGCTCCCATACGACAGGTTCCAAAAACAGCCCCAGGAGATAGGAGGGGGTGATGTGCAGGACACTGGATCCCCATTCGAGCCCAGGAACTGGAATTAGCATCCTATGTTTATTATTGACCACTCTCCTTTGCAAGCAGAGCCACAGCCAGAAAGAGACGGGGGGTCAGGGATCGAAGGCTTGACCTGAGCTGGGATATTTGGGGGTTGCCTGCCGGGACTGCTGCCTGGCTCCAACAGCACATCCCGGTCCCCAGAAATCCCCATCCCTGGAAACTTCCCCAA